TCCGCTCCTTGAGTTCTCTCCAGCGCTGGAAAGCTGATCCGATATTTACACGGGTCCTACTTCTTGCCTTATTGCCTTAAGCCTTCTTTTGTTCCGCAGAAGTTTTCCTCTTTTGTTTTTTATCCGCCATCTTTCTGTCGCTTGGCTCGCTAATGTCTGTCATGTGCACTGAACGCTTTCTCCTCCACATCATGAGTAGACACGCCCCTTACTGCTGATTGGCTACAAGTTTGTTTTGCTAATCGGCCCGAATCAGTTTTCTAAAGCGTTTTTGAAAAATCTCTTACCCCACCTTTAATTGTAAAGAAGGTTTCCTTTGGGTTTCTCAGAAATTAAGTCATACAGGTTTGGGATGACATAAGGATGAGAAGATATTTTGAAGATGTTTCAACTGTTTTGTCAATGGGGTCCAAAACAACAACACTGGAACAACATGAGAGCAACACTGACTTTAATTGTAAGGACGAAAGGTTTCTTTTAGGTTTCTCAGAAAGTACATCATACAGGTTTCGAACAACGTGTGGGTGAGTAAATAACAGGCACTTTTCACATATCTGGGGCTCTGAGAAGCAGAGGTCATCACAGTTGTGTAAACTTCTATAGTGGTGAACAGAAACTACAACGCAATGTTCAAACAAAAATCCACAATAGTGTTTCTTTGACTTTCAAAAGGAGGAAAAAAATATTGAGAAATGATGTTGGTCCCTCAGCTGTTGAATTAGAAATATTTGCTACAGCAGTGTTAACCAGTTTTCTGTAATTTAATGCCTATCTAATAAAATACAAAGTATGTGAGTTAAATGTTACATATAAAAACTTGATAGATTTACAATGCTAATAACTGTGGAAACACGTCACACATCATAATCTGTGAAAAGGTTTCATGATCAAATACACATTTTCTGAATGAATTTATTCCTTAAAGACATTCCGCCATATTACACAGGCTGCACTTTTATTCCACACGGTCACGTCATTGTTCAAATCAAATTAAAAATGGCATCTACTCCAACTCAGAAGGTCTGTGACAGCGCACACTCACACACAATGCGTGCACCTGTTCGTAACAATGGGAAGGCACCGCAACAACCAGCTGTTCAACAACACTTGAAAACCGTACGAGCACCGACGGAGAGCAAAAGAGCGTGGTACTTGGTACCATAACGGGCGCCAGATCCTTCTTTCATCCAGCATCATTACGACCGATGCGACTAATAAAATGTCTCGGTGACGCATCGGTCCTCGGCTCTCTCGCACCTTGCTGGCAGGCCTTCGGAGCACTCTGGGACTGACAGTCCTTCAATGGATCGAACCTTATCAAGTATTTAATTGTAACAGCACAATCTAATTAGGCGGCTCTTAATAGAGGTAATATTCGGTTATTGGTTATTAGTATAATGCCTGAGATGTGCGGCAGCGCGGGGTCTTTAAGCCGTGATGTATCGCAGCGGAGTTAATAAGACTCCGCACTCACCCTCTCCAATCTCTCGCTCTCTTTCAGGAGAGATGGTAAGCTGATACTACATAAACATTGTTAAAACCACAGCCCCCTGCTGCAGTAATTCACTTAGCTCTGGCCTTGATTTATGGCTCTGTCAATAGAGGGTGACTGGAAACTCTGGACGCTGGGACTGCGATGTAGCCATTGTAATAATGGAATGGACGACTCCCTCTTGCCCTTCTTTTGGTGTCGTTCACCATCTTACCTTTCCCGACGCCGTCTTTTCACGGCCCGGCTCTTTCTGTTGGGGGTAGGACGCAAACTTTTATGAAGGAGATGTGAAGACACGCAGGCGGTGTCTTTACCGTCCCTGGTGGATTGGATTAGCCCGAGGCGCTGCCGCAGAGACCGAACCCCGCTGAGACACACCCTTTACAAAGCTGAGTCAGGATTTGAGTGGACGACGCTCTAGTACTTAGCACAAATGCTAACAAACATACACACACACACACACATTCAGAACCAGCATACACAAAAACTGCTAGTCACGTCACATAGACAAGTAATCTCGTCAGTGCAATTACCAATAAAAGTGCTCATTTTATTTCTTTTTTTAAAAAACTTTGTCAATAATAATGAAGATGAAAAAAGTCATCTGAAATTAAAGCTCCAAAAACTTAATTTTCCAAACAGTGCAACGATTTTAATTAACAATGCTGACCAATGTGAGAATGTGCTAGTATACATTTAATAGAATATGTCATAATTTTAATGAAAATGTGACCATGAGAAAAGATAACATAGCATATTAATGTTTTTGAGGAATATTTATATTAATTTATTAGAATAATTTATTTATATTAATTATTAATTAAATAATTGTAATTAATTAATATATACAACACACATATACATTACATATATAAAATGTATAATAATGAGAATTTATAATATTTATGAAAATGTGATGACAGGAAAAAATAATAAAATAACACTGCATGATGTTAACAATGTGGTAACAACGTTTTTGAAGAATATTTCTATTATTTTAATAGAAATTATAATTTTTAAGAAAATCTATCTATCCATCCATCCATCCATCCTTTTTTATTTATATGAATGTATTATTCATAATTTTTAGAATATAATAATGTATTATTATAAAATAATATTAATAACTGTTAATAATTTAAAATATATAAAAATGTAAAATGTGTATATAAAATATCAAAGCTCTCCTTGCTGTGAAAACCTGAGCTCAATGAATGTGTCTGTATAATGAATGTGTGTGTGCGCATTTATACACACACACACACACACACACACACACATATATATATATATATATACACATACATACATACATAAAAGTTCACACACACATATATATATATATATATATACACATACATACATACATAAAAGTTTGAATATTTGGTTTAGTTTTCATCAAATAAAATGTTATTTTTGTTGACTAGAAGCAGAGTAAAACGCACTAACATTTATGATTATGAAATTAATGATTAATGACAAAATACTGACTAAACTTAAATGATATTTTCATAAAAAGACAAACTCTGTTCAAATTAGCGCACCGCATGCAGCCAGAGCAGAACTTGGAAACCCACTGGCCCAGAGATGGCATTAAACGGCCTTTTCCATGAAATTAACGGATGCTAGCTGCAATCCAAGAGCTGACTTAATGAAACACTTGAGCAGCATATGGTTTCTGCTCCGTTATTCTAAGAAGTGGATCCAATTGGCATCGCTGCATCTATCTGGAGGCAACATGTTGAGACTGGACCGCTTTCGTGACGTTTCTCCTCGCCAAACAAAACGATTTTTCAAATGTCATCAATCATTCGCCCTTGCGAGGACAAACGCTTACCTGTTCTGCCTTTAAATCATCACGAAGTCGGTTCTCTAGAGCCAAACGAATCGTAGATCAGTGTTACAGGTTTGGTAACCAGCTTACGTCAGCTACAGCAAACCTACCCTGTCAATTATGCAAATTGCCCCAGTCAATTAGTGCGGAGAAAAAAAACACTTTTTTTCTTCTTCAATCGCTGACAGAATCTAAGTGTTGTGGAACGATAGCCAATTACTTAAATGGCTTGCTCCCATGTCATGTTCTTATTCATTTAATGGTGGTTATTTGGACGGAAAATTGCAAGTAAACAAAGTTTGACCGTGTCTTGTGTTGTCAAAGCCACTGGACGACATAATTCACTCTCAAGGCCGTCAACTCTTCCGTCTTCAACGTTCCTCGTTCTGCTAAATGCAAGACACCGTCTCCTGCACCTTAATATTCATGTAGCGCACGGGGAAAACCCCACTGACGTGCTGAAAGAGGCTTCATGAACTAAAAAGGGGTGGTGATGAGACTAAAACCAGAACACAAGCGTGAGAGGGAGAACAGAGGCTCCGAGAGCAGCCGTGTCTTAACTATAGACACCAGGAGATCATGGGAGCCCCAGGAGAAGAGTCTGATCCTTAGAAATCACTTCTCTTTGTGCTTTATTAACCAGTGGGCTGTTCTCACAAGTGTGGCGCCACCATGTTCGAGAACATGCGGCATCAAATGGTGTTAATGGTCAAAGAGAACCTGGGGCGCAAGCAGACTGACTAGAATATCATGAGAATAACTGACTTGACTTGAGTCATTCTCCAGGACAAACCTGTTACTTATGCTAGTCAATTCAGGATTCAATACAAACACAAAATTGAAATGTTAAATTATAGTTTGTACTTGCTTCAATTATTTTATTATATATATAGTCTTTTATTCTTTATTATTTGATTAAATATTATTTATAATTATTTACTTTATTTATTTATTATTAATAATACATTTTATAACCTATTATTTTATTTAATAGATTAATTTATTTGTATGCATGTATTTAAATAGTACATAAATATTTATATTTATGTAAATATTCACACATTTAAAAATACTAATTATTTTATTTCAATGGAAATGAATTGTAATACAGTTGACCATGAGGCAATAATACAGTTACACAGTAACATTCATATATTTACATTAGGGCAATAAATAAATAAATACATAAATAAATAAATGTATAAATAAATTAAAATTAAAAAATAAAACCAGTTTGCAACAAAATAAATTATATATATATATATATACACACTTCCTAATGTGTTATGTAAATCTGTGTAGTCTCATTAAAAATAATACTATTTGTTTATTATTTGTTTTATTATTTATTATTATGTATTTTTTTATTACTGATCATTAATAATAAATATTTAGCCTATTTATTAAATTATTAATATTTAAATAAAATAATTAGCATATTAGTATAAATATATAAGTACATGCATATACATAATTATTTTAATGGAAATGAAATTTATTACCACTGACAGTTACATATGGAATGAATGAATGAACTGCAACAAGATAACTGACATGCACAACTTTTCAATACAAATTTGTAGCTTCTTCTTGCTGTATATGCAACCAAATTAAGAACAACAACAACTTGTAGTCACTAAGCTCCAAGAGTCTTTGGTCTGTAATTTAAAAGAGTTTGAAGTACCTGTTTGACCTCTATACTTCTATTACTAAATGGTGTCACTGATGGCAAAAAGGCACAGGCTGACCGCAGAGGTACTAGTGGGTGGCCCTAATAGTTAGTCTGAGGGGGGTCCAGCGGACACATACCTCCCAAAGCAAATATGGAAATGATAATGATGCGCTGAAAAAGAGGCAGACTCCAGCAGCTGGTTGAGCGCGGCGGCTCCTCTGTTGCCATTGTGCCGCCACCCGCGCGTAATAGAAAAGGCTCCAGATTAGTTCCACTTTGCAAATCGTGTTGGTTCACTGATCTTTTTTCCACTTTCCGCAACCTTTTTTCCCCACCGGCCCATTGCTGCCAACTTTCATTGAATGGTGGATTATCAAAATAATAACTAAGGTGATAATAACAGGCTTTTTTTGATGCGATAGGCAACAGGTCTCCACTTCACCCAGTTTGAATAACACCGAAAAGGAGGGAAGAGCAAGTGTTACGAAGTCGCACGGTCAATTGAAAGGGAGGACAGATTTAGGCAGTTTTAAATATTCTTTAATGGTTTTAGAAAAAGACGTTTTCCGGCCGCCCCACCTAACCGCATAAACCGGGTTTGACTAACGTGTTGAAAAAGAGGGAGGCACTTTAAATCAATCATAGATTCATGGATTTAGCTTTTAGGAAGTACTCTTAAAGAGGCGACAATCCTCGCCCCGTATGCATATGAAATCGCTGCCCATTTTGCGCCTAGTGTCCACATGGGCATAAAATATTCACATGACAGCGATACCACTTCCAAGCATGATTTATTACTAATTGCCTCACAAATTAAGTTGTGGTTTCGACTTCAACATATTCAAAGTAATTCATGCTGGAAACAGACTCTTCAGCCCAGTTCTGTGAGCCGTTTGGCTTTATATCCAGCAAATAAAGAATATCAATAATAGAGAAAAAGCAAAAACAGGTACATTTCCACACAAACCCTTACTTTTGCATAAAGGTAATCGAATATTGGACAAAATGTGCTTTGAATATGCAATGGAAAACCACAAACAAGCCAACAGACTGTAAATTCAGGAATCAGTTTATTTTCCTCACTATAACTCAACCATGCGAAGACAACAATATGTAGCCGCTCACTGCGTGTCTTTGGGTTTGATTAAAAACCGTCCTTATCTATGACAAAACCATTCACAGCCAGTGACAATAAGGTCATGATAAACTGATCCAGGCCTCTGTCTGATAAAGCCTCGTTTGCTGGGAAAACCAACCCATGTGTAAGTCAAACTCAGAGATCTGGTCAAGTGTTTACATTAAACGCATGTAAATCAAGCAGCCGGACGAGGTGATACACACTGTGGGTTGCACTAGTAAAGTAACCGCACTCACATCCTTAGCATATTTGTCAACAAAGTCTGACTGTAACAAGCTACATATATAACTCTCCCTCACTTTTACCCACGCTGCCTCAAGCCCAGTTCACACTGACAGCAAAAATCCTGGCAAGAAAAACACTTAAACAAAACAAAACACAACACGCACACACACACACACACACACACAAAACCATAAGATTATTTTAAACTAGCTCTTTTTAGTAAATCAAAAACATAGAGCACAACCAGTGTAGTCCAAATCACGAACAAATAATCATTATAATACAGTTATTTTAAGTGAATCAAAACATGCAAACATCACTTACTGAATTAACATTATTTAACATATTAAATTATAAAAGTTATCATTACTTTCCTTGATGGAATATTATATCAAATAATTTAGGTAATAAACAAACATGCAAATAAATCAAAATAACTTTACACTTTAAGTTACATTGCTTATTGTAACAAGTATAATTATACTGTATATATAAATATATAATAATATATATATAAATACATAATAAGTATGTGAACTTCATATAATTTTTTTAATACCGGTAATTACAAATTAATAAAGTAATTTTCTACAGTTTTAGACAAGATATACAATTTTAAAAAAGTTTACTTAAAACTTCACTGAGCAGTTTTGGTTGTGCTGATTATAAAATTCAAATCAATCAATCAATCAATCAATCAATAAAATAATAACTGAACTACCAATTTTGGGCTTTGTTGCTAATTTTTTTATTGTTTGGGTGGGTGAGTGGATGGGGTTCAAGACAGCAGAGGAGAGACTGTGAGGCCCAGCGGGTGGCACAGGATACACTACATAGGGCCGAACGGTGACTCTCCCAGAGCCACACAAGATCAAATGATTAGTGTATTGATGTCTTGAGGTTAAAATGTCAACAGACATGCACACTAGGCATGACCTTTCTCAAAATAAAAGTAAGCATTATTCATCTTCTGTATAAATCTGTGCATGTAAAAACACTCATGTTGTGCATTATGAGTCCAATCAGACTTTCGAGGGCAAGCTCAAAGGAATATTATGGGTTCAGTACAAACTCACTTGACAGCATAGTGTTGATTACCACTAAAATAATTTCCAGTTGTCCCTAGTTTTCAAAAATCAGTTCTACAGTGAGGCACTTACATTAGAAGTAAATGGAACCAAATTTTAATTGTTAAGATACTCAATGTAATGAGATGTAAACAATGTGTTATCATAATTTTAGTGTGAAAAAAAAATAGTTCTAACCTATTTTACAATGAAATGAAATTGAAAAATTATTTAAAGAGCTTTAGAATTAAAATAATGTAATAGTTTTAACAGAAGAATTAATGTGGGTGCTTTTTTTCTTTAAAGAAAACAAGGGAAGAGTCGAAGTATTTCTTGTGGTAATCAACATTATGCCACAAATGCTGTCAGTTGAGTACAGAACCCCTAAAGAGGCATGGTAATGGGGAAAAAAATCAGTGTTCTCGGAAAACCTTTGCATTCCCCCAAGAAACTCTGCAGTGACTCGCAAAACATTTGTGTTCCGTTCCTCGAGAAAGTTTGCGTCTGTTCGCAGAACTTTGCCATTTCTCTGAAAAACTGTTTTTTCGCAAAACTTTGCTGTTTCCCCAAGAAACTTTGAGTGCACTCGAAAACTTTTGCGTTTCCTAGAGAAACTTTGCTCACTAAATTTTGCTGCTTCCCCGAGAAACTGCATTCGTTCAAAAAATGTTAGTGCTGGAAATAATACAAAGTGGAAGGACTGTATTTCTATATATCAAGGTTTTTGCGAGCGAACACAAAGTTTTTAAGGAAACAATACTTTTGCGAGAGAATGCAAAAATATTGTGAGTGAGCTAGGCTTGCCGCGATAGACGGTGTTGACGGTGATACCGGTGTTAAGCCACAACACCGGTTACGTCACTTGCCCACCGCGGCACCGACCCCCACCGTCGATTTGATTTTTTATAGAAATAAAAATCATTTAGTTCAGTAAAAGAACATGCACTACAATTAAAAACTGAAGCATTAGCTGAGAGACGTTGTAACTCAAATATACCCAAATTAATCATAATTGAATCCAAACCAAATCAGAACTGAATTGGAATTGAATCAGAATCTAATCAGAATAAAATCGAATAAAGAGCTTGTAGACTGAAAAAAAAAAGCCAGTCCATATCAAGGTTGTGTTCCTGTTCATTTGCATAAAGTTGAACTCTACTCAAATTGGTCGCATCATGTCCTGATGCTTTGACACTACAAATCGCTGTCAGTGTGAACGCCCCTTCATACAGAGTCCGTTCAGACTTCAGGTTCCTGCTTGTCTGGTCTAGTGTTACAAGGGACAGTGTGGAGTGTAAAGGAAACAGGGATTTGAAGGATTGTGGGAGAACTGCTGGCTGGGATTAGGGGCTTGGGGAAGAAGAGTGGTGCAGAAGGGTGGGGTGTTGGGACCTCACCTCTGGGTCCTGTAATGACAGGTCGATGATGGTGTGTGAATGCCGTTCGAGGGGAAGTGGTCTGCGAAGGCACAAGGCTGCTGAAACCAGACTTCTCTGACTTCTTTAATGTGGTAGGCGATGGCATCCCTGGCAAGAATGATTGATAAGTGCAATTTAATAACGCAAGGTCATGGAGATACAGGCTGGCGCAAAGGAGAGAGAGAAGGAAAGCTAGGAAAAGAGGGAACGCCCCGCCCCCGCGGTGATACCGGTATTACCGGTGTTGTCACACGTCGATTAACCGGTGGGAAAATTTCCTCACCGTCACAACCCTAGAGTGAGCACAAAGCTTCTTGGGGGAACGCAATACATTTGGGAGTGAATGCAACGTTTCTCACAGGAATGCAATACTTTTGTGAGAATGCAAAAGCACTTAAATATAATTTTTCTTACCATATAATTTTTTTTTCATCACCATGTCCCCTTAGGGGCTGTGTAGTTGAGCGTAGCTTTGTATTATTCCTTTAAAAGTCTAATAGGTTTTCCAATTTCCTAATTTCTAAACAGTTGGTTCAAATTAATGGCAATGAGTGTAAGGTTAGTTGTTAATGGTAAAAATGGCGCCTAAAAATGTGAAAACAAAACCATAAGGCTGTTTTTAAAGTATCTTGTGCACCTTACCCGTGGGCTAGCAGGATGAAATGACGTAGCAATGAGCGTAACAGGATGTGGTAGAGAAAAAGAAAGAGAAAGCTGGACAGACATGGAGGGAAGAGGAGTTAGGGATGCAAAGCACACAGCATTCACATTCACAGTCTGCCAGACGGCTGTGCTTTGGCAGGGGTTAATGCGAGCAACAGTTCAGATGCACAGGCTAACATGAGCTAACTGAGAATGACTGAAGTCTGTTACTGCATGCTCAGCCACGTTAGTTCAACTCCTCCCCCCGGCATTAGCGCTCCCATACTGCCTCGCTTCATTCTACCTCTCGCTCCCAGGTAAAAATAGACAGACGTGAGGGAAACCTATGGCCGATTAGCCGCTTGAGGTTAGAAATGCAAATTGATAAGAATGAACTGCAAATAGAAGGGGCAATTAGGAGGCACCACTGGCCCATCTGTCACCCGGTCAAAGCATTTAGTCCATTCTTCTGCACTGGGACAGGATATAAGCGCTGGTCTTATTTCTCCCCGAGAGCAGTCCACTCACACTCCCACCACCCCCGGAGGAACTAGTTCATCCAGACGCTAGCAAATGACTTAAACCAGTGCAATTCAATCATGTGTGGCTAAAGCTGTATTAATGGTTTTAGCCGGCAGCCCTCACTCTGCCTCGCGCTTTCCACACATCTCATTCTTGTTACATCACAGCACTGGTGTGTGGGACGCCCCCCCACAGTCTCCGATCCTATACGGAGGCCACCGCACTGATTATGAGCCTCTTATCTAGAGAGATGTTGTGTCAAATAAACTGTATTTATGCACTGTATTTGACGGCACACAGAAGTAGACTAAAAGTTTTAAGTACGGCATTCATTCAAGAATTTTGAAATTGCAAAACTGTAACGTTCAAATGATCCACTTGCTAGTGCCCACCAGATTTACACTTTCCCAATGAGAAATATATAAAAATAAATATAATATATAAAAAATAAATACAAATTTGAAGGATGAAAAAATAACAAGATTTGAAGGACAGAAACTCCAAATATTATTATTTAAATGAATTATTTTTAATAATAATAACAATATTATTTAATATATTCTGTTCTGCATTGTTATTATTATTATTATTAAATTAAAAAATTTAAATATTGCAGCATAGAATATCCTAAATAAAACAACATTAAGTTAATATTAATAAAACTTCAATGTTTGAGTGCCTTTTCCATTAATAATACTAACAAAAAATATTAATAATATTACATTTAATAATAACCACCACACACAGCTCAAAGTGTTCCACTATCAACACTATATTGCAGATCCACTATAGTTCCACTATATTGCAGTTAGCTGCTTTATATCTAACTTGCTTTTAGATATGGGGAGGTAAAATGTGCAGGTGCGTGTGTTTTGGTGCATTTTTGTGTGCGTGTGAGTGATTAGAAGTCATCCTTGGTTTCTCCGGCCCTCGCAGACTCCTTCCCCTTTCAGGGGCAAAAAAGAGAGAGAAAACAAGATGGTAAGAAAGACAGCATCTCTTCCCAGCACCAATGACCATTAGAGATTGGCTTTGTAATTTAAAAGGGTCACTTTAGGTCATGGAAAGGTCAACTAAGAGGTCAATGAAACCAGGAAGAGATGGTTGCTACTTCAATACGAATATGGTAAAAGATTTTAAGGAAGAAGCCATCAAGCAAAATTAGCACAAATTACCAATGATTTCCAGTCTTCATTCATCAGACACACACACACACACACCGAGTGCAAAATTCTCCATTCAGCTGTTCTCATTTTCTCCTCACACTCACAAGTTCAGCGCAGAATGCGTCAGAAGATCAATTTCAATGAGTACGCTGACAGCGGTGGAAGACAGAGCGGAGTGGAAACATACGGTGTCATTGGGACAGACTCATCAAATGGACATGGAGCCCAGAGTAACCCAAACACTACTCACCCGAGACCATGACATAGACGAGAGAGAGACGATGACAGAATAAACAGACAGAAAGGGGTGGAAAACGGAAGGGAGCGAAGCATAATAGGATGGGAAGACAAACAAGGGGTTAAGTCACACACATACACACTCCCATTGTCACAAGCCGTTGGAGAGGATCAAAAGAACATTAGCTATTGCAATATTAGCTATCGCTAATGCTATTTCTTAAGTACATCTTCACTTTGGATATCTTACTCACTGACTTATCAATATTTTAGCGTATCTGAAGTGGCTGTGATTCCCTGTCAATCACTTTGTGCGTTCACAGGGCAGTGGAAGCGAATCACTGAAGTTTAGTACCAAATTCAGCTTCATTAGCAGTTAGCCTGTCATACGAAAATGCTACTTTGTTAGCATTAATTTTGCTGGTGTGTTGTTGCCCTCCTGCTTCATCTGTCATTAAATTGTCACTTGCTTTAAACTCAATTATATTATACTCTTCAGTAGGGCGGAGTTTTGGAAAAAGGGCATGTTTAATTAATGTGGTTTGATGAAAGCTCAGGAAGTTTAACGCTAAATTCAGCTTCATTATCAGGTAGCATGTTGCCAGAATGCTATTTTGTTAGCATTTGTTTCACAGCTAAAACAGCTAATAACCACGTTTGGACCAGCTAGACACTATATAGAAAGCTGAGTTCTTCGATTGAGTTCTGGAGGTGGTTCTGAGGAAGGACATTTCGGTGCCTGTAGAGTGGGGAAGTCCAAAGAGAAAACAGAATGAAACCTGTGGGTTGGCAGACAGTTTGCTTTGATTGTGTGTGTGCAAGTGTCTGTGTTTGCTGTGGACGGGGTCTGATGTCTCGGAGTGAGTAATGAACACTTGAAAAGGTTCTGTCAGTTGGAATCAAAGCCTGGCCATAGTCAGCACTTTCCCTTCCGAGGCGTTATTACACGCTGGGTACCAGTCCTGGCCCGATTCTCCTTTTCCCTCCCTTCCTCCTTCCTCACGGCTGACAAATTGACGGAACCCAGATGGGCGAGGAGGCAATTCTGTATTGAGTGCGTCTCTCTGCTGCTCTCCATCGCTCTCGTCCTGTAGCGCTCGCCGTCCCCTCCGGCACATCAATCAGCTCTGGCCCGGCTGCAGTCAGCAGTGAATCTACCCAAACTAGTCTCAACACACACTCACTAAAATTTACAGGTGGATTATTAATTATTCAAAATATAGATATAATTACTGCTGTCTTGATTGTTCTATTATGATGTAAGTAATTAACACACAGAAACTGAAAACACAAAGTTCTGCAGATTATGAAGTACTGAAGTCTGTTAAAGGTGGGGTAAGCGATTTCTGGTAGCCAATGTTGACATTTGAAATCACCAAAACAAACACGCCCCTACCCCAAAAGGGTCTCGCCCCTATTTTGATAGCTCCGCCCCACACATACGTACGCAACCCAGGCAACAATTAGTTCTGTGAAACAAAACAAAACCAATGTTATGCCGTGTCTACACCGGACGCGAGCGGCGCGGTGTGACAAAATACTGTAGAACTCATTATAATCAGTGATGCTGTCTACACCATATAGACATATATACATATCTATGGTCTACACTGGATGTGGCGCGGCACGACACGACAAATCCCCGACAGAAAACGATCGCTTACCCCACCTTTAATTTCAGTGTTCTACCTTACTATATATATATTTTTTTTTATATATATTTCTGAATTACTGTTAAATTGTGTATATAACATATATTATGAAAAATTTATATATATTTCACAAATTTTTATCACACACAGACAAATATTTATTCATAATATTAATATTATGAATTATGTTACATTATAATATAGAAAATAAAACATAATTATATATATTCCATTTAATTATACATATAATTTATTACTACATATATATATTTTTTTAATTAAATTTTTAATTTTAACATTTTAATATTTAACATTTATTTTATTTAAATGTACATATTTTGACTATTTTAATCACACAGTAAACTACCAAAAAAGTATAACTTCTAATTAACTTTTTGATGTTATATATTACAGTTTATTATAGTTTATTATTACATTATTTATTAAAGTGATTTTAGATTTTAAAAAACTAATAAAAATATAAATCTTAGAATTGCTTGTAAATTTTCATTTTCCGAGTAGGTGGCGAGAAGTCATAGGAGTATGACTGTCGGACACTCGGCTACGTGGAGCGAGCAGAATGACAGGTAGACCTGTCACCCCATAGCCCCTACCACCTGACACCCGCTACCTGAGCAATGACAAGCACGCTGCTGCCGCGGACATACTTTAGAAAGGCTGGCTAATTTTAAACACATTGCGAAGGTCTCCGCTATCAAATAAAGATAGGAGAGGCCCACACGTACACGTATATAAACACAAACACACATCCAACACACTCGGGGGGGAGATTCATGGAAAGCGACACAAATCAAACAGATGGCAGACATAACAAGAGTTCGAGATGTCACAGTCGTTTAACAACATGGATGAAAAATGGACGAAAGTCGCTGATTGGACGAGAAATGTGATCCTGTCATGGGTGAGCAAGTGATCGGGAGGTCAAATCGCACTCACTTTCTCTCTCACCCTCTTCATTTACTCACACATTCCCTCTCAAGCAAACATACACTGGAACAGACTCTCACTTGCTTGGTGCCGACGCAACTGAGAAAATAACTTATTAGTGAGACGCAGCTCTAAATCAATAGCACCCCTCCGTATTCTCCATTTGTATTGCCTTTTTTCACCTTTAAATATATTAGGGATGTGTCAGAAATGTAGACTTGTCAACTAATCGTCCAATAACCAAGTAGTCGGTTAGTGAGTTAATCCAGAATTTTTTAACTTTAATATACAGTGCAACTGATTTAAAGTGGATGAATTTAGAGGTTAGTTATTTACTTATATAAAAATAAATATAGAACATAATTAAAATAATATAAAATAAATAAAATAATATATGTATAAAATGCAAAATATTATTTAAAATTTAAATATACATTTATATTTATACAAAAATAAATATATATAAATAAATAACGAATAATATAAAATAAACTTAAAATTATACACACACATATATAAAAAAATAAATAATTATAATTGAATGATTTTACTAAAATATTTGTAAAAATACATAAAATAAATTGAAATTATATCAAATGAATATCAATTTAAATCATTAATCAAATGAAAATATTATATAATATATACAATTATACATGACTCTCGTCCAAATAGAAAACGCATACTTTTGCACATCCCTAATATAATTATCACAATTTTTCCAAACACTGCATCCTCAAAAACACAAAGACACGTCATTTTAACGCAAACATTTCCAGATGCACCGTTGATGGATGTGGATGACGTCATGCACACATACAAATCACAGGGATATCATGGGACAGGGAGTGCATGTTGTTTCGGGGGGGGGGGGGGCAAAAAAAATTCTGCAGGCCTTTTCTGTTCCTTTTAAACTACTCCAGTAAAGTACAGATACTTGAAAAATGTACTTAAGTACAGTAACGAAGTAAAACTACTCCGTTACTGTCCACCACTGATACACACACACACAAAATATTTTTAAAATATTTATGTATATTAAAATTTAAAATCAATTATTTAAAATAAATTATAAGAATTAAATATGTAATATATAAATATAATACATATATATAATAAAATATATAAATAATATAATACAAATATAAATAATTATAAGTAATTTTACTAAAATATTTACAAAATACATCAAATAAATAGAAATTATATCAAATGAATATCAGTTTAAATCATGAATCAAATGTAAAAAATTAATTTGAACATTTTTATATAATATGTACAATTATACAGGACTTCCGTCCAAATAGAAAATACATACTTTTGCACATCCCTAATATAATTATCACATTTTTCCCAAACATTGCGTCCTCAGAAACACAAAGACACATCACTTTAACGCAAACATTTTCAGATGCACCGTTTATGGATGTGGATGATGTCATGCACACATACAAATCATAGGGATTTCATGGGAGAGGGGGTGCATGTCGTTTCAAGGGGGACAAAAACATTCTCCAGGTTTTTTCTGTTCCTTTTTTGGTGGTTGTGGGGGAAAAGCAGGTGGGGGGAAGAACATCGTCTGAACAAAACAACAACAAAAAAATAAGGTACGAAACAACAACAACGACGACGACAAAACTAGACGGCACAATGGACGAGCTCCTTTTTTTGGGTGGGGTGGTGAGGTGAGGTGTGGAAGGGTGACAACATTGATGTAGTTTTACCTTGTCTTGAGATGAACGAACTAGCTAGCGAGCCACGCAGTTTATATCCAGCTTTGAAAGACAAGGAAGGAGGAGAAAGAAACAAGGAGGGACAAAAGAACAAAAAAGGCAGGGTGAATAAGAGGTGTAGAAGCAAATGTGCAGTTCAACCATTCATGTCAGATCTGATGTGTCCAGAACCTGCCGGACAGCCACACACTCAGATTACACACACACACACACACACATATATACAGACAACATCTTCTTAGGGTTTTCTTTTCTGGATGTTCCTCACTTCCGTCACTGTCTGACTGTATTCTTCTATAGGTCTGTAACCGAATCCGCATGTTTGTTTTTATCAACGGACAAAGAATCCGGGGATATTCCCATTATGATGGCAAAAAGGGAGGTGGAACTACAGGACTGAAACTGGGAGAAGGCTGCTGTACTGGGAGAATAAACACTAATTATTTCTTAAAAATAATTTAAATAATTTAAATAAATAAATGTATTTCATTATTAATTATTTATTAAATATATAATGCAAATATTATATAAATTATATATATATATGGACATTTGAAAATTTTTTATATATTTGTAGAATATTACATTACAATATGTAATTATTAATATAAATAATTTAAAATGATATTAGATAATAGTTGAGAATACAGTGAGTTGGATTTGTCTTTACGTTAATGCAAAATAAAAAAAAGCTTGGCGGCTGAGAGGGTCGAAATACCACTAAACTTAATGTGAATATTATATTCATATTATATTTATCAAGTTAAAATTAGTGCTGTCAAACGATTAATCGCGATTAATCGCATCCAAAATACAAGTTTTTGTTTACATAATATATGTGTGTATACTGTGTATATTTATTATGTATATATAAATACAAACACATGCATGTATATATTTACGAAAACTATGTTATGTTTATATATTAAGTATATTTATATATAATATAAAATATAAGAATATTAATGGGAAAGGCTGGTGGGGGAAGAAAATCGTCTGAACAAAACAACAAAAAATAAGGATATGAAACAACAACAACGACGATGACAAAACTAGACGGCACAATGAACGAGCTCCTTTTTTTTGGGTGGGGAGGGAAGGTGAGGTGTGGAAGGGTGACAACATTGATGTAGTTTTACCTTGTCTTGAGATGAACGAACTAGCTAGCGAGCCACGCAGTTTATATCCAGCTTTGAAAGACAAGGAAGGAGGAGAAAGAAACAAGGAGGGACAAAAGAACAAAAAAGGCAGGGTGAATAAGAGGTGTAGAAGCAAATGTGCAATACTTCAGCAGTTCAAGCATTCATGTCAGATCTGATGTGTCCAGAACCTGCCGGACAGCCACACACTCAGATTACACACACACACACACACACATATATACAGACAACATCTTCTTAGGGTTTTCTTTTCTGGATGTTCCTCACTTCCGTCACTGTCTGACTGTATTCTTCTATAGGTCTGTAACCGAATCCGCATGTTTGTTTTTATCAACGGACAAAGAATCCGGGGATATTCCCATTATGATGGCAAAAAGGGAGGTGGAACTACAGGACTGAAACTGGGAGAAGGCTGCTGTACTGGGAGAATAAACACTAATTATTTCTTAAAAATAATTTAAATAATTTAAATAAATAAATGTATTTCATTATTAATTATTTATTAAATATATAATGCAAATATTATATAAATTATATATATATATGGACATTTGAAAATTTTTTATATATTTGTAGAATATTACATTACAATATGTAATTATTAATATAAATAATTTAAAATGATATTAGATAATAGTTGAGAATACAGTGAGTTGGATTTGTCTTTACGTTAATGCAAAATAAAAAAAAGCTTGGCGGCTGAGAGGGTCGAAATACCACTAAACTTAATGTGAATATTATATTCATATTATATTTATCAAGTTAAAATTAGTGCTGTCAAACGATTAATCGCGATTAATCGCATCCAAAATACAAGTTTTTGTTTACATAATATATGTATAAAATATAAGAATATTAATATATAAATGTATAAACATGTAAATATTTTCAAAATATATACTGTGTTTGTATTTATATATACGTAATAAATATACACAGTACACATACATATATAATGTAAACAAAAACTTTTATTTTGGATGCGATTAATCGCGATTAATCATTTGACAGCACTAGTTAAAATCCATTTACAGATCTGGAATTTCACATATTTCCTCAAAATCTATGTGGAAAGTGTTAAATTCTCCTGGGCCTGCTTGTGAGTCCTCAGTTTGAATCAGTGTAATGAACCTATTCTGACTCAATGAATCACGAGAACTGGTAAATACCATCAAAAGAATCATTAAAAGAATCATCAATAAACTGCAATCTTTCAGTGGAATTGGAATCTGAATCATTCAGTTCCTTGAATGATTTTGTTAATAACGATCTGATTCCCTGCTTGAGCTCTGTCCTGATCTGGCTGTAATATGTGACGTGTGTTTCCTCTCTATCTCTGTCCACTATGCGGCGTCAATTTCTAATATCGAGGATGTGCGAGACTTGATTGAAGATGCTTTGGAGCGGGACAGATTTACAGTCCTCTGCTCTGTGGCAGTGCGGCGAGCTTCACAGGACACACGCACACAGTCCAGGATGAATCAGCATTCAAACTCACACACATACGGGACCCTTCGTACATTGTTAGCATCATTAGTAGACACGTGGATATGAAGTTAAATGAGACTGTATCTACAAGCCATCTATGGTTAACTTCTGAGATGGACTGAGGGGGGCAGACGGCGGAAATCTTTCAAAAAGAAAAACAAATGAGGTGCCATTTGAGTTAGAGGGTGCCATCTCCGAAATGTCATACCCAGAGAGACGGATCAGAGATGCTGAAACCCCCCCCCCAAAAAAAACAGAAGAAGAAAAAACAGAAATAATCCCCACACAGCTGTTGCCGTCCCACAACCAGCGCACACCACAGGATGCACAAACACACACACATACAGCAGATCCGATCGCTCGCTCTCCAGTCTCCACCCGCAACCCCACAGTGTGTGAGAGTGTGAATGTGTGTGTGAGCACCGGGGGAGGCTGGCTTTCAGGGTGGACAGTTACCTGGCTCTACTTCATGCCAGCTGCTGGCTTGGCTGCCGCTTTGAATACGTAATGGTTTACTTATTTACTAATCTTTATCAAAGAAAAGTTATTTCAGAGGAGAGGAAAGTTATGTTTCAGTAAAAAATTATGAAAAACTTATTTTTAGAATTATTAAACATTTTAACAAGTTAAATAGTAAAATTTGATTTCATATTGACTATACATTTTGTACAACATAATTATTCAGGTCAAAAAGGTGGACAGCAAAGACATGTGCAAGCTTATTCAGACACACACACACAGACATTCTACAATCTAACACACACATTCAAGAAGTGAGGAGTCATTGGAAGCTGGCGGTCATGTGTGTGTGAGTTATCTGCTGTGAGCTGAGCTCTGACATTTATTTGTTAATGTAAGGCCTACTGGTGTTTTTCACTCATAATCGCTTAATTAGTTTCTAGCATGCAGCCACACACAGGGTCCTTATTCCAGATGTTTGCTTTGGCAGGCCTGGCTGAAGAGGCCACTGAAGCATGTGGGCAGACGCACACATGTACACACATACAGTTGTATTTGACCGCACACACATGGGCTCCAAAGTTAGCGAGCTCGTGCTCTAAACTACATTTTTGTTCATCAAAAGCATCTATGATGACCAAAAATAACAAGTGCGTTCTGTCATATTCAACAAATGTATTCAATGGAAATTGCTAAAATGAACATACACATGACTGTTGTATTTTCAAATGTGTTAAATATTAGCACAAATGTTTATGTACGTTTGTATTTGTGTGGATTTTAGGTATGCTGCGTTATGTAAAAGTGACAGCGAAATTTGCCCCATCAGTGAAATCACAGTAACCATTTATACATTGCATTTCAGCTGTGCACACACACACATCCAAACATCTGTCCACACACACACACGGGGTGCCACGTAGTGCGGTTTTACATTGGGGAGCAGTATGTGTGTGTGTGTGACTGGCCTGTAGGCTGAGCGGGTGGCGGAGGGAGAAGGTTCCAGGTGGACACACATATGCTTGAAGCTTGTGTAGCTCAGACTCCTGCAGCCTCTTTGAATGCTCAGCCAACACATCAATCTCTGCCTCGGCTGATTAATTAAGACTCAGAGTGAAGGAGGGAGAGAGAGGGAGTGTGTGCGTGCGTGTCTTTCGAGTGCATACCTGCTAGAAGAAGTGCTGGGTAGGGGGCGCCTCATGGCCCCAGGACTCATACTGTAGTAGGAAGAGCTGTCCAGGTCTGCCAACGAGAAGTTGGGCCCCGTCCCTGCTGCGATGGGGGCTGCCACACACAGAAAAGAGAACAAACATCAATACCTGAGAACAAAAACAGTCTTAAGCATCACATTCTGAAGCAGTTCATCTTCATTTCCACGTCTGAAGTAAAAGTAAAGTTTGAGTTAGTTCACTCGATTACCATTTCGGCTGTGTAACAAGTTTACTTCTTTATTTATTAAACAGCAATAAAATCTGACAACAACATTGCTGATTTAGCTCATTGTCATATTAGTTCAGCTAAAAAATAGATATAACAATAGAATGATAAATAGAAAGATAGATAGATAGATAGACAAATAGACAGACAGACAGATAAAAAAAACTAACACACATGCTTTCTAATCTTTTTGTATTCTATCTGTTTTCTTTTAGTTTAATATACAATTAACAAAAGCAAAAAAGACCTCTAACACTAGCTTGCTCTATTCTTTCCGCTTTGCAGAACTGTGCGACAAAAAAGAGATAGAAAGAGGGTGGATAAGTCCAATCAAAGACTTTTCATTCTGCAAATGTATGATTTTCTCCCAGCATGCTTTGTTGGCCAGTGTGGAGGAATGTAGTTTGGATTCAGATAAATGCTATAGGCAGTATTAAACCACTTTCAAAAAGCATTTAATGTATTACTGTGATGTATTTTAGGGGCTGAGCTTGATTTTACACATTAGGATTTGATTGGTTAATGAAAAGTGTGTTACGATATCATTTATTTAAAAAAAATTTTTCCATCAACACTATGGAGGACAAAGTGTGACATTAAAAACTACTTATTTTATTAAAAAGATCAATATATACATGATAAAATGCATTTTGACAAAATCAATCATAAAATATATGAAAATAAATGAACATAGATGTTAATAAATATAATCTATAAATAAAAATACAAAATACACAAAGTTTGCCATAGTAAAAAACATATATTTTATTAAACAGATCAATAAATGTGTTAAAATATCTTTTAATGAATTAAATCATAAAATATATGAAAATAAATGAACTAATATCAATAAATACAATCCACAGATAAAAATACTAAATACACAAAGTGTGCCATACTAAAACACATCTTTTATTAAAAAGATAAATATATATGCTAAAATGTTTTAACGAATTAAATCATAAAATATATGAAAATAAATGAGCATGTCAATAAATACTATCTATAAATACAAATATAAAACACAAAATACAAAATATAAATAAATCATTGACATATTGCTTGATTTTTTTCATGTATTCAGTAATTTATTTTACATTTTGAGATTTGTATTTATTATAAATGTATAGATAGATAGATAGATAGATAGATAGAACGATCGAACGATAGATAGATAGATAGACAGACAGACATATATATAGAACGATAGAAAGAAAGAATGATTGATCGATCGAACGATATATAGATAGATAGGCTGTGTAACAAGTTTACTTCTTTATTTATTAAACAGCAATAAAATCTGACAACAATATCATAAACATTGCTGATTTAGCTCATTTTCATGTTAGTTCAGCTAAAAAAATAGATAGAACAATAGAATGATAAATAGAAAGATAGAACGATAGATAGATAGATAGATAGATAGATAGATAGACAGACAGACAGACAGATAGATAGATAGACAGACAGAAAGATAGAATGATAGATCGATCAAACGATAGATAGATAGACAGACAGACAGATATATAGAACGATAGACAGACAGAAAGATAGAATGATAGATCGATCGAACAATATAGATAGATAGATAGATAGATATTTTTTATATATTTGTATTTATTTCATCATATTTAATAAATTACATTTCTGTACAATTCTTCCTCTTCCTGTCATTCAAATTCAACTTCCTTTTGGGTGTGGCCAATTCAAACTTTTTAATTTTATAATAAAAGAAAAAAATAACAACGGACATTTGCTTATCTTACTTGAACACTTGTGCTGGTTACAAAACTTTCCTCCCTGAGCGAGTCGCCTCAAGCTGCAAATCCCCCCGTGCCCCTTTCTGTAGGTCATCGGTGAGCAATGCTCTATCAAACGCCTTTGTCATACAGTACATAAAGCCGTGATGCCTCTTTATATTCATGGTGACTGAGACCACTATTTTTTGATGAGGACAGCACGAATGTGTAAGAGAGCGGCCCTGGTCCTGCATACCTAATAGGCCGGGCCCAAGCGGAGAGAGAGAGAGAGATGTATGTATGTGGGGGGTGGGGGGGTGGAGTTGGGCGGACGACAGCGTGGAAGATTGTGATAGACACGGTAATGGGCTGCCTAATTAACATTGGAAGAGGACACGGCTAAAGGGGCAAGTTGGACCAAGGGAGGGAGAGAGAGCCAATGCACTAGCCAACAGCAAAAAGTTGGACACATAGGAAGTGAGAAAGGAAGTGCTATAATTTCTGAGTCATCTCTTTATGTTAACTTTTTTTTTGGAGTGGGGGTGGGCGGTCCTTCGCTCTAATAGAAGTGGCAGCGTGGGTTATTTATGACGAGCAGTAAAGCCGGCTGCATTTGCATGGCTAATAGTAGGATGTGAAGTAATTTGTGTGAGAGCTAACCTGGGCACCGGGCTGCAGTAACTCAGCCGGCCCTCGACGCGCACACATCCACACAAACGAACCCTCACGCCGAGAGTGGCCTGCCCTGCTGCAGTTTGGGTAGAAAAATGACCACACTGCAGTCTGTCTGACTGGAATGGAAATCAATCATAAAGGTAATCCGCAGTCTCTACCTCTTAAAGGCTTTATCAAGTGCTTTCGCTTGGAGGATTCCAAATGAAGCCTGTGGCTATCAGGCCAGCATTGATCTTTCTCTCTCTTCTCTCCTTCCCCTTCTGTTCTCTCTCTCTCTCTGATCTTTACTATTTTACCTTTCAAGCTGCTGGGCGCAAAGTACATTAGCAAAATGTTTCAATCTATTCTATTTACTTAGTGCAGAGGAATTGCAGTGCAGCGAGTGGGTTTACTTAGCTGTGCATCGGGGACAAAAAATTGTCCAAACAAGTTAGCTAAACCTGACAAAAAGGTTGCAAAAAATTATTTAATGTGTGTATTTTTAACTTTGTTAGATGATGGCAAAGGAAATCTAAATGTAAAAATACTGTCAAAAACTAGATTAAATTTACAAAAACGTTCTATATTCAATAATGCAAAACAATTCAAATATCTCCAATATCGACTGATAACTGATATGGTACCGGTGTATCATCCATCCCTAAACTTCTAAACATGTAGTAAGTTTTGTAGACAGCAAGGTAAAAGTATTTCAAACAGGTTTCAGACTGAAGGCTGGCAAGTTACAGGAAGTTTGTTGACGGACAGCAAAGTGACCGAGTCTGCTGGATGTGGTGGTTTTTTTTTTTTTGGTGTAGTCTCTTGTCTCAAGGGTTGACAATCCCTCTTAACATACACACACACAGACATACTCCTCCCCTCCACCCAAACACTGGCCGCGTTAAAGCATCTACAAAAGCTGGGGAGGCTATTCATTTGAAAAGAGCAGGGGAAGGAGGAAGAGTAAAAGAGAGGGGGAAAAATTGGCTTTTGTTCAGGCAGGATTTTCAAATTGAAGCATTTGACAACAAAGGCAATCAACTTCAAAACCCTGGATGTCTGTTCACCCCGTCTTCCCCCCACCCCCCTTACTCCTCATCGCTTTATTGAGCGAGAGGACTGTGGCGTGAGGGGATCTCATCTAGAACTGATCTGAAGTTGGTGAGCTTTGACAGGTCTTCGGTGGGGTTTTCTGCTGGATA